CCTGTACCCACCATTTGTCCTCAGCAGCCCCTGATGGTCCACTAGCAGCCCGCGCTCTGTGGAGGCTGCAGAGAGAAGCTGAGGCAGGTGCAACCAGGGCTGCCAATTTTTCCCACTGCCCCAGCCCCCGGGTCTGGGATACATGTCTTGGGGAGTCCAGAGCAACCGACTGCCTTCTAGGGCACTCATGTGATCAAGAGATCACAATCACCAATCACACAGTTAGGCACAGGGGGGCATGCACACATATGCAGCATGCATACAAACTCACATTCAAACCATACAAATTCACACTTACACTTATTCCCAGGCAGGAATCTGGGAGGAGGTGGCCCCTAGGGAGGTGGGACACAGCCTCCCCCAAGGTCCACACACTTACCCTTGGACAAATGGATGCTCAGAACGAGGGCCCACAGGACTGTGGAGACCATGACAGCCAGTGCGACCCAGAGAAGCTTCCGGCCCCAACATCCCAAGGCCCCTGGGGAACACAGGTGGAATCCTGGGTCCCCTGCACAGGGAATGCCTTGGGTTCCTGGATCCCTCTGGACCAAGCCCTGGACTCTTGGGTTTCTCCCAAGGAACCCAGGCTCAGTAGGTGGCCCACCATCGCTCATCCCCTAAGTGGCATAGTGGGGATCTGAACCCAGGTACCCCTGGTCTAGGCCTGTGGGAGTTCTCCTGTTGCCTCTATCTGAAACCCTCTGGGCTCCTCTCTCCCTTCCCCCAACCCCATCAAACTGCAGATCTCTGAACCAAGGAGGGTTCCAGACAGGGACCATACAGGCAGTCCCTCCTCGCATACCTGCAGAGGCCTCCTTGGGCCTGCCGGTCCTCTTGCTGTACCCAGAGCTGTCCATGGCAGTGCACGGACCCTGCCCTCGGCTGGGCTATAAATTAGCCCCCACCCCACCCGGCTCCTCCCACTCTCCTTCCTTCCCGTCTTTTTGGTATCAATTCCTAGAATCAGGAACCAATGACGGCCAACTGCACAGCTGGACCACAGTGGTTTTATTCTGAATTAGGGGGGTAATTTCAACCTCTCTGGCCTGGTAAGCTGTGGTCACTTCCCCCAGGCTGGGACTGGGAGCTTTATTTTGGACCTTGGTCCTTGTCTCCTCTACAACTGGGCTGATCTTCCTCCCCAAATGGGTCTGTGATGCCCAGCCAACTTCTAGCCACTACTGGTCCTGAGACAATCTCCTAGGGCCTGCCTCCCTCCCCGCTTTCCTCACCCCTTCCCCGGTCAGTTCAGGTTCTCTCACGCTCTCCCCTTCTGCAGGTGTCCACCTGAGGCAGGGTCTGACTTCACTTATCTTTGCCCTTCTTGGCCCCAAAGGAGAACTAGATGTTTGCTGTGGTGGTGATCAGCCAAACTGTTGGTTGTGCCAGGGAGGGGGGGACCTCAGACACGCGTGTCATTTCTAGAAGCCTTCTCCTGTAAAGAAGGAATAGTATCAGAGCTTAAATCCTGAACACCCAGTTTGCAAAAAGCTACAGGTGACATGAAAGCCCCAAATCCTCTTGTAGGATTCCCCACGTGGATTAATCCCCCAATCACAGTCCAGGGATGTGAGAAGCCTTGATGTCAGACACAGAGCATTGTAAAGTCAATTATGGACGATACAGTTGGGTTAAAATGCAACATTTATCACTTGATCTTCTTTATAAAAGTTATTTCCATTTTTCATAGTCTCCATATTCTTTTCTATTGAGGTTTTACTGTTTTGTTTCTAGAAGGGTTTTGTTTTGTATGTTTTTCTCTATATGAAACCCAGGATAGATAAATCTGTAAAGATAGTGACTAGATTAATAATTATGTAGAGGCGTGGTAGGGGAGGGGAGGTTGTGAGGAAATGAGGAGCTGACAACACTGAGAACAAGAAAGAAGGACATGTTCTGAAATTGATTGTAGTGTTGATTGGATAAATTCTTCTTAATATGATTGCACTATGAAGTTGTATGATATGTGAAAATAAATTGACAATGTGCTTGGCAATACTTCCTAGGATTAACCTATGCAATAATGGAAGAAAACAAATATATTAATACTAATGCAAAGACAGGGGGAGAGGTAAAATTAACATTAGTTTTAGTTAGTATGCCTTTCTTCTTGGAAAATGTAAATGGATCAATTGTCTAACTTTAGGAAATAATACAATTACAGCTAATGAGCCAGATGCAGGAGCAACCTGTAATGATGATTAGCTAAAACATGATAATGTGGTAGTCATCTAATCTGGTGTCAATTTGAGGATTAAGAGTGTAGGGGTGGAGTCTAGGCTGTCAATCTGGAGATAGCCAATGAGACTTCTGTGTGGCCATGGCCTTCTCCTGGGAATTCTGGGAAATCTGGTACTTCCTCCTGGGAGGTGGAAGACACCTCTCTCTCTCTCTGCTACTCCCTGGAAGACATTGCAGAAGACAAGACACATGGACCCACCCTGATGCAGAGACCCCTGCCAGTGCTGAGACGTTTCCAATGACACTGAATCCAAAGACTGTCTACCCACTGGCCTGTGATCTTCTACATTCGGCGTCATGGCAAGTGGTTCATGAGTCTGAAGAGGATTCTATAGATTGGTTTTGGCCAAATGGGCTGATATCACACTTATGGACTCGATCTGGACTGGGCTGGGATGTTTTCTCCATGTTCAATTGCTCTTGCATATAAATCTCTTTCTTATACATGTAAGTGTGTCCATGGATTTGTTTCTCTAGTCTACCCAGACGAACAAAGATAATATGCCTGGAACTGAACAACAACAGCAAAAAATAAAAGTTACTGGAGGATTTGAATATCTTGTCCCCTGGGTAAGAAGGCTCCGTATATATGGAACACAAGTGTAAATAGATAACCTCCAGACTTCAATTATAGAATCCTTTTGTATTAATCTGGGTACTTTGGAGAAACAAATCCAAAGAAACTCATGTATAAAAGAGAGTTTTATGTAAAGGTTAAGTGTGCCTCAAGAAAACATCCCAACCCAGTGCTGCTCAAGTCCACAAGTCCAACATTAACCCATATGTCCAACACCAATCCACAAAGTTCTCCTCCATCTCACAAAACAGAGGCAATGATGCCGACTGCAGGAGGAAAGGCGAGTCAGTGAATGTGTAAGCATCTCAGCGCTGGCAGGGCTCTCCACACGGCCGCTCTAGCACCCAGGGCTGCATTGGGGTAGGTCCATGTGGATTCTCCTTGGGGATGTCTTGCAGGAAGTCAGCCTTGCAAACTGAAGCAGGGAACTGCTAGTGCGACTATCACAAAGCAAGAGGCCTGAGAATTAGAAAGATGAGGCTCACTGAGCCATTTATCCTTCTGCCCTTCATTTACCCCACTTGTGTTTATCAGCCAGGTTGGCACAATAAACGAACTCACCTCTTTTGGGAAGTAACGAAGCAGATGTAAAATAACATCTGGAAGATAAAATGGATAAGAGCACATAAGAATATTTTGGAAGAGATGGCTCACGTCCTACCTGACGGCAGTTGTTGTTCTTGTTGCTGCTGCGTGGTGATGTCAAGTCGGCTCCGACTCGCTGTGAGCATTCACACAGCAGAATGAAGGCCTGCCTGTGAAGACACCATTTTCACAGCGATGCCCTGCTTGAGCCCTTGTTGCAGAAACGGCGTCAATACATCTTCCTCTATTTCCCTGCCCCTTTGTTTTACCAAGCATGATGTCTTTCTCCAGGGTCTGGTCAGTCCTGATAGCATGTCTGAGGTAGGTGAGACATAGTCTTAGCATTCTTCCTTCCATAGAGCCTTCTGAGTGTGCTCCTTCTGAGACCGAATTGCGGCAGTCCACAGCACCTTCAATGTCTTTTGTAGACACCACCCTCCCAATGAGTCAGTTCTCCTTTGGTCCTCCGGTATGCATTATCAGCTCTTTTGCATCTGAGGCCATTGAAAAGACCAGGTTCATCTTAATCCTCAAAGGGACTTCTTGGCTTTTTAAAAAGAGCTTCAATTAGGTTTTGTGTAGCAAATACACCTAGTGCAATATATTGTTGGATTTCTTGGCTGCTGCTTTCATGGGGATTCGCCATGGAGCCAAGTAAAATGAAACCTTTGGCAGCTTCAATCTTCTGTGTCTGTCAAAATACTGCTCATCTGTCCAGTGTGGTACACCAGCAGAGGGATGAGCTGGAGCTGAAGTTGGTGTAGGGTTTTTGGGGGAACAGGATCTATAAATTTCTCTTACAATTGAAGAAGAGTAATGCAAGAAGGTCTGGGGAGTAGGAGATGGGGCAGGGACTACGTCCAATTATTCAGTCTTTGGGGCAGGGGCTGGAGGAACAGCCCAGAAATGATTTGCGTCACAGTTGTTATTGGTCTTGCTCTTATGATCCTGTTCCACATGGGCGTCCTCTTCCTTGTTGTTGGGGAGCCTTCGTTGCAGAAGCAGCCAACACCATTGGCACCATAGACCTCCTCTTCACTCTATTTCAGTCTGTTCTCAGAGGAGCTGGTCCTTGGGTTTGAAGGCAGGCTTCGGCAAAATATAGATTTAAATAATTGAGTCTTATAAAAGCAAAAACGCTTCCTGGCCTCATAGCAAACATAGGTCATCTTAAGAATCCTAAAGGGTGAGGCCAGATTCTACATTTTAACCCAGATTTTCTGTTGATGCTTGGGGCAGCAGAGCTGAACACCGCTACTCTAGGGCAGACGGCTCTGGTGGGGGTAGTGAGTGGTACCTCCTGGCATACTTTGCCTGGGCCTCACATCAAGGCCACCAGAGAAGTAAGAAGACATTGCTCTCCCAGTTCCAGGGGCCTCCCCTGTGGTAGTAACTGGAATTAATCCAGGTTGGCATGGATCTTATGATATTCCAGAACTGCAGAAGTCTCAGCACAGGAAGGAGTATGAAAAGGAAGCTTCCACTCCCCATCTCTGCCCATGAGTCTGGAGTCTCCTTCCTCTGACTGAATGGAAGTTCTTTCTGCAGTCTCACCTCAAGTTCTCAGTTGAGTTGTATGCACCCACGGGTACATGTTTGTAATGAATGTGAGTTAATGCTTACACATGTGTGGTGTTGTGAATGAATTGTGTCACCCCAAAATGGGTTGTAATTCCCAGCTCCTATATCTTTTGGCTAAGAGGAGGCAAGAGAACTGAATAGCAAATGTCTAAGGACAGCTCAAGAAGACAAAGTATTATCACGACAGGGGCAAAGACCTGGAGTTGGAAGACCAAAAGGGAAGGACACACTCAACATTTCTCAAGTTGAAAGAACTGAAGGAAAGGTGCAAGCTTCGAGTTGCAATATTGAAGGATTATATATGCAAAATATCGAATGGTGCGGTAAGCACCAAAAGAAGATGCAAGGAATACACAGAGGAATTCCAGGAACTGATGGAATGCCTATTGAAACGTCTCAGTAGGCTGAAGATGCACTGGAAACACTCACTTGTCTACCCCAAGAAATTTAGGAGACGGCTACCTGGCCAACCAATGGGAAGAGATCGACATCTGTGCCAATTCCCAAGAAAGGTGACCCCATAGAATGCAGAAATGATCGAACAATATCGTTCGCATCAATCGGTGGAATCCAATAGGCCCGCATCCTTGGAGCCTCGGTGCAGCCCTCTACAAAGGAGTTCTGAAAATACAAGAGGACTGATTTCAACAGCCTTCTTTTGGGACCTCCCTTGGGGGACAGAACTTCTGCTGATTACCACATATACTCGTGTATAAGCTGAGTTTTTCAGCACATTTTTTATGCTGAAAAAGCTCCTTCGGCTTATACTCGAGGGAGGGTCCCGCTCACCTGTCCTCCAGTACTGTGCGATGTTCTCCGGTCTCTCCTGTTCTTCTTTTCTCCTGCACGCCGGCAACCTCTGTGTTGTCCGTGCTGTACTGGGCAAGAACCTCCCTGCTCCTGTGTGCTGGTACCTGGGGCGCACCGCATCCTTGTCAGATGAATGTCGGATGTGCCCGCTCTTCCTCTCCCGCTCTTCTCCAGGGCTGCGACCAATGACGTAGCCTTTACAGTCTTACCTGTGCTTGGTCACGCCCCTTGCTCCCCCCAAGCATTGCTGAATACAAGTACCGGTATATCTCTGGTCTTGGACATACGGTATGTTTATTTACAGTATTTAGTCTGCTGTATTTAATTTTTTTATTAACCCCTATATGAACCCAGTGTTGACTATGCTTGCATAGAGCAGCCTGTGTTAGGGCTCCTAATATACACGCGGTGTTGTGTCCGCACTGTGTGACTGCATGTGCGGAGTTAGCCCTTCCCATACATATGTGGAAACGTTGCGTATACAGTAACACAGTCAATACATCTTCCCAGTTTGGGGGTAAAATTAGGTGCCTCGGCTTATATTCGGTTGGCTGATTCTTGAATATAAATGGTACATGTCAGCATCTCAGAGGAAGGAGTTGACAGGAAGAAATCCTTCACAACACTCTGCTCCCTGACAGGATGCCTGTGGAGCCAACTCTATTCCTGGCTTTTGGAATTTTGGCAGCAAGCTGACACTCTCTCCTCACCCACCCCTGGCTGATACCTCAGGGGACACTTTCACTTCTCCCCCAACACAATTGGGGGGATATTGAATCCAAACTTGGGGGAGAAGATGCAAAGGTTTCTGTGCTCTGGGACTGAGAGCGTCTCGACTCTCAACCAGCTTCCTGCATTCCAGCTGGATCGGGAAGGTTGACGTTGGCTATAGCCTTGTACCCAGGGCTCATCTGGAACTCTTGGGGACTGGACTGTAGCCAAACATTCCTGTAGCACTCGGTGTGCAGGTTAACCCTGGGAGGTACAGAATTAAGTGGGCCTGGGTTAGGAGAGAGAATCAGCATCGCAGTTTGAGTATTTCTCTGTGGGCTCGGGATTCATTTTGTTATCAACCGCCTTCCTTCAGTTCATGTCCCAGTGGAATCTGAGCCCTCCTCTGACATACAGAGTCAGCAAAGACAGCTCTGGCAGACGTGTGGGAAGTGTTTCAGATAGTCTCGTCTCACCTCCAGTCTGTTGGGTGTGTTAATCGGTGCCTTGAACTCCCTGGGGACTTGGAAGCCAGCGTCAAAACCAGGATATCAATGGTGGCAATATTTCATTGTTTTCTGCCGTTGGTTCCTGTGGGGGTAGGGTAGTACTGGATTACTTGGCCATCTTTGATTATCCACATCCTACGGTAAATGCATGGGGATCACTCTGTGCCCAGAGACATGTTAAACATAAAATGCACACGCCAAAACCCCCAACAACACAATGTCTCCCCAGCAACAGGCCATTTCTGCACACATCTGGAAATGAGAGAAAACAGCCCAGTTAACTGGAACACATACTGACGTGGACCTGGAGGAGATCTTGGAAGAGGAGAAAGCATTGGATCCTCAAATTAGAGAGATGAGGGTGATGAGCTCCAACTACTTTAAATGATTGAGGACAGTTTGATAGCAGCACAGAAAAAACAAGCAGAAGCGACTATACAGGATCTCAGGAAGGCACTGGAAGACCAATCCAACTAAATGAAGGAAACACTAGGAATAATTTAACAACTCCAAATAGAAATTCAAAAAGTAAACACTAAAATATGATAGCTGGATAACACCTTGAAAGAACAAAACAGAAGGATCCAAACAATGGAATCACAGATCACTGATCTTGAAGACAAATCTCTCAAGAGCAACATACAAGAAGATCAAACTCTGAATAAGACCCCCCAAAAGCTGAAGAAAACCGACTGATTCAATGGGACACTATCAAAAGGAACAACTTACATTTGATAAGCATCCTAGAACAGAGAACAAATATTAACTACAGAAAAAAATAGTTGATTGTGGGAGACCAGCCTCCCCACAATGGAATGGGTCCAAGGGGGCGGTTGTGTAATTGAGGGGCAAATTAAAGAGACTTGAGATAAAGCATGCAAGAGCTCACCTCTTCCACGTTGACTGAAACCAGAATGAGGCAGTCATGTATCCTCTCATGTAATCTTGGGCATGCAAACCACGGTAAGCACATACATAACAGGAAGGGGTTGTATTGGAGGGATGCATGTAATATGAGAGGGGTGAGCTAGGGGTGTACACGCAATATGAAGGGGGAGGTACTAGAGCAGTGGTTCTCAACCTTCCTAAAGCCACGACCCTTTAATACAGTTCTTTATCATTGTAATTTGCTACTGTGATGAATCTGGGGACGGCTGTGAAAGGGTTGTTCGACCCCCAAAGGGGTCGCGGCCCACAGATTGAGAACCACTATACTAGAGGCATACATGTGACAGGAAGGTACATATGTAACAAGATGAATGGGCTCCAGGGTCAAGATGGCAGTCTAAACTTGGTCCTCTCTGAGCTGGCTTGGCCTTAAATGCCCCTGAGCTCTTCTCTGGGGCAGCAATCTGTGGTCCTTATCAGAAGGAAGTGGGTCCTCCTTGGAGTGGGATACAGACAATCAGGTCCTTTTGCTCTCATGGCCGACACCCTTCAGCAAGGAGCCTGCAAGCAGTTGACCTGCAAACACAGATAGTAGCAACTGTGTGCTTGCAAGCAGCATCTTAACATTGTCATGATTCTGGGGGGACATCGTGGGGAATAACTTTTACTTGGGAGAATATGACTAGCATGCATCTCCAACCTATGAACATGAAGGTCTCCCTCCACAGGACCCCCCCCAGTCTACCAGACTCTGTAATGTATGAAGGTCGAGAATTTGTCCAAATACACTCTCTTCCCGGTTCTGTTTCCCACAGTGGATGAAGTATTGAAGGGAGGAGAAGTTCCCTAATATTATGACGAACACATAACAACTACTCCAGAAGCCTAGAGAACTCCACACAGAATGGATCCCCAAAGAAAATCACCAGGACATCTCGTAGTGAGAGGTTCTGATATTCGAGAAAAGGAAGCAATTTAGAAACAGCATGGGAAAAAAAGAGCAATCACACCAAAAGGCCAACCCATCAGGATTACTCCATAGTTTCTATTTATTTATTTCACACTTTCCATTGAAAGATGCAGGTAAGAAGGCAATGGATTGATATATTAAAAAATGTGAAAGGTTCCAGTCAACTCCAAATATTATAACCAGCTAAATTCCCCTCAAATATGAGGGAGAAATAAAATTAAGCATAAACTAAAGGGATTTGTAAAAACAAGATCACCCTTACAAAAAAAGACTATTAAAAGGAGTTCTTTGGATCAAGAATCAAAATAACAGCAATTTAAAATCACCACACAAGACTTTAAAATTAGTGCTATTGATGTAAAATTCACACATAATACACTTCCATGGTTAAAACTCTTTCTTAAAAAAATTGTATAAAAAACATCACAATCAGTTCTAGTGCTCTCTTCCCCCCTCCAGCACTGTTTGCTCCGCAATTCCCCTCACCTTCCCCACTCCCTGCCCCCATTAAACCATTGCATCAGTTATTGTCTCTGTGCACCCACTCTTTCTATGCTTCATAAACTGGGAAACCTAATGGAAACAATAAAAACAAAAAGAAGATAATAATAATATTAAGATAAAAATAAAGAGTAAGAAAGAAAAGAGCACCCATAATATTAAAAAAAAAAAAGAGAAAAAAAAAAAAAGCCAGAGAGAAAATTTCAGTCATGGAGCAAGCAAAAAATATTTAAATCTAGAGCAAATTCAAGTTGGGTCAAGAGATAGGTCAACTGACCAGATATCATATTACACTGTAGTTCCATCCACCCTAATCAAGTTTACAATAATCTATGTCTGATAGCCAAAGGGTTTGAGTCCCTAGCCTGTGGCCAGAGGGATCTGACTAGATGCTCTGCAGATGGATTTGGGGCTCCCACTGTCCTCCGTAGCCTTCTACAAATTGGGTGTTTGCATTTAAGCTCCGATACTTTTCCCTCCATCATCTTTGGATTTTGTTCTTGTCATCTTTGGATCACACAGGCTGGTGTGTTTCTTCCATGAGGACTTACTCCTCACTCAGAAGGATGAGTTTGAATGCAAGCCTTTAAGACCCAGACACTATTCTAATTGATAGCAGGGCACCATCTGCTTGCTTCACCACACTTCACTGCAGCACCCTTATCATCAGTGATCTCTTCATGAAGGCAAGTACGGAGCAGGGTCATGTCGTAAGAACTAACTGTTCTTGAATTGGGACTAAAACGAAGTGGGTACCCAGAATACATCTGCTCTTCCATGGGTTATGATGACTCTGGTTTACTTCAGCGGTCATAGCATCATTTTATGACCAAAAAACAAACAAACAAAGCATAAAAACACCGACAATTTTGAGAAACGATGTACAAATGCGCTTTACACAATTGATGTGTGTATGGTTTGGGATGACAGTTGTATAAACCCCTAATAAAATGTTAAAAAAAACAAAACACCGACAAAGAACAAACAAACAAAAAGGAGAATATTATTAATCATTCCCCTGGGGTAGAAGGTGATTGCATCAATAACATCAATAATTTATCTGAAAGCATGGAATCTAAAATACTGTTGAGAAGAGGAATTTATGCAAGCCTAGTCCAGCTGCCAATTGCAATCCACAAGCTGTTGCTTTGAATAGATCGAATCCTTCAATCATCGAGCTCTGTTTACATTGAACGTGAGGGTGGACGCTAGGGGGAACATCCTGTAACATTCCTTACAAGAGCAGGACAGGCGTATCAGGTGCCATTTCCTTGGACGCCCACAAAGACAGGGGTCCCACCCAAGGCCCAAAGACAGTGATTTCCATGATCTTGGGGTGGCCATCCTTTGCTTCCTCTCCCATCAGGGAATTTCAATCCTAAGTACAGGGCTACAGGCAGTTCTGAGGTAGGGCCCAGATGGGTCAGTCAGGCTTGCATATCGAGGCCTTCTGGTGTGTCCCTTGGGGGATGCCATGTTGCCTGTAAGGCCAGTGTCTAGGTCACCACAGGGGCCAGTGTCTAGGTCACCATGGTGCTTAGTTCATGACCTGGTTCACCAAAGGTTGCATAGAAACTTATTCAAAAGTGTCCCAGGAACGTAGACCTGGATTGATTCTCCTCTTAGGTTCCCTACAATGATTGTTTAGCACCCCTTCCCGATGGGAGGTTGCTCCCCCATGGACCCACCACACCCACTAACAGATATCTCAGTGCTTCCTCTGAAATGCAGGTGCTCCCTTCCCCTGGTCTGGACTTGATTTTCCAGTACGGTGCTCCTGGGCTTCCTGTGGAGGACCTGCTGATTGGTCCCCACCCTGTCTGAGTGTGGCATAGCGCCAAGCAGCTGGTCTTCGCCCTTCTCCCCCTTCTTGAAGGGGTGACCCCAGCCCAGGGCCCTCTGCATACTCATGTAGCCACACCCCAGCGTCCCAGAAAGGTGAACCTGGAAGCAGGGGGAGCAGAGGATGGTGGGTGCAGAGTCACGTGGATCCAAAATCAGTGAAAGCATGGCAGGGTGCTGACAGCTGTCTGGCTCATATGGGGTCACCCAAGGTCGCAGTCACAGAGTCCCAGTGAAGTTGAGGAGAAGAGTGGGAGGGAGAGGGAGAGGAGAGGGGCGAGGAGGCCCCACCGCTAAGGAAGTGTCATCAAGCTGGCACTTGATTGACAGATGTGACTCCACCCCTATCCAGGAGAAGAGGCCGTGGGGATAAAAGACCATATTGTTAACATTTGATAACTTCTTGGCTTCCCTAATAAACTCCATTAAGCCAACCCATTGCCACTGAATGGCTGGTGACGACCTACGAGGCAGAGTAGAACTTCCTCTCGGAGACAGGAAGTCTTTACAGGAGTAGGCTTCTAGAACCCACACTCATGCCTGAGGGTGCCCCCTCCGTGCCCTGTGCCCACTGGCACAGCCAACAGTTTGGCTGACCACCACCACCACAAATATCTGGGTCTCCTTGGGGCCAAGAAGGGCAGAGATAAGTGAAGTCAGAGCCTGCCTCAGGTGGACATCTGCAGGAGGGGTGTGTGAGAGAGGCTGAACTGGCCGGGGAGGGGGGGAGGGAGAAGGGGGAAGGAGGCAGGCCCTAGGAGATTGTCTCAGGACCCGTAATGGCTAGAAGTTGGCTGGTATCACTGACTATTTGGGGAGGAAGATCAGCCCAGTTGTCCAGGAGACAAGGACCAAGGTCCAAAGTCAAGCTCCCAGCCCCAGCCTGGGGGAAATGGCCACAGCTTCCCAGGTCAGAGAGGTTGAAATTACTCACCCAATTCCAGCTAAAAACACTGTGGTCCAGCTGTGCAGTTGACCGTCATTGGCTCTTGATTCTAGGAATTGATACCAAAAAGACGGGAAGGAAGGAGAGTGGGAGGAGCCGGGTGGGGTGGGGGCTAATTTATAGCCCAGCCAAAGGCAGGGTCCGTGCACTGCCATGGACAGCTCTGGGTACAGCAAGTGGACCGGCGGGCCCGAGGAGGCCCCTGCAGGTATGGGAGGAGGGACTGCCTGTGTGGTCCCTGTCTGGAACCCTCCTTGGTTCAGAGATCTGCAGTTTGATGGGGTTGGGGGAAGGGAGAGAGGAGCCCAGAGGGTTCCAGATAGAGGCAACAGGAGAACTCCCACAGGCCTAGACCAGGGGTACCTGGGTTCAGATCCCCTCTCTGCCACTTAGAGGGTGAGTGATGCTGAGCCTGGGTTCGTTGGGAGAGACCCAAGAGTCCAGGGTTTGGTTCAGAGGGATCCGGGAACCCAAAGCAGTCCCTGTTCAGGGGACCCAGGATTCCACCTGTGTTCCCCAGGGGCCTTGGGATGTTGGGGCCGGAAGGCCCTCTTGGTCGCACTGGCTGTCATGGTCTCCACAGTCCTGTGGGCCCTCGTTCTGAGCATCCTATTGTCCAAGGGTAAGTGTGTGGAGGTTGGGGGAGGCTGTGTCCCACCTTCTTAGGGGGCCACCTCCTCCCAGACCCCTGCCTGGCATAAGTGTAAGTGTGAATTTGTATGGTTTGCATGTGGGTTTGTATGCATGCTGCATGTGTGTGCATGGCCCCCCTGTACACATCTGTGTGATTGGTTCCCTTCTCTTGGTCGCATGAGTGCCTGGAAGGCAGTCGGTTGCTCTGGATGC